TCATTATGCCCTCTACTCGTCATTCAGAAAAGTACACCAATTATATTTCAACTTACAGTGAACAGACCCTTTGATTCAGCGATTCCATTTCTAACAATTTGCAGATGAACTTATCTATGTGAACCCAGAAAAATCTATATAGAAAGACCTTTTCTACAGCCAGGTTTGGAATTACAAAAGACAGGAAACTAACAAAATGTTGACCATTAGAGGTGGGTTTAAATTATGGTATATCCCTCTAACAGTTTGCTTTTCGCAGCCCTCCAAAAAATAAGAAGCAAAGAAAAATGCGTATTAAAAAAAAAAAAAGACCAACAGCTCAGAACAAAAATGGCAAAGAAAACAGGTGACAGAAAAGGAAAGGCCAATGGATCCTGAATACACAAAAAGACCATGTATCTCAAACATAATAAACTCAAAACGTTTGATGACACACTTTGATGGAAAAGCCCTTATAGGTATGTTGGGAGTGGAAACTGGGAGTCTTTGGAAAACAATTCTGTAATTTCTCCCAACATTAAAAATATATATGGAACTGTGCACAGAGGACACAAGCTCATAAAACTAATTTATATGGTCAGCAGTCAGGAGAGTGGTTATCTTGGGGCAAGGAGAGCTGGAACAATCCATTTCTAGAGCTGCATGCTGGTGACATGGGTGTGTTTGGGGTGTGAGAATTCATTATGCCCTCTACTCGTCATTCAGAAAAGTACACCAATTATATTTCAACTTACAGTGAACAGACCCTTTGATTCAGCGATTCCATTTCTAACAATTTGCAGATGAACTTATCTATGTGAACCCAGAAAAATCTATATAGAAAGACCTTTTCTACAGCCAGGTTTGGAATTACAAAAGACAGGAAACTAACAAAATGTTGACCATTAGAGGTGGGTTTAAATTATGGTATATCCCTCTAACAGTTTGCTTTTCGCAGCCCTCCAAAAAATAAGAAGCAAAGCTTTTAAGTACTGATAGGGTCTGACCTCCAAAATTTATTAACTAAAATAAAAGCAGAAGGTGCAGAAAGTATGCATGGTGAAAAAGAAACAAACCAACAAAGGGCAGGATCATGCATCTCTATGCCTATGTATGCTCAGAGTATCTGACTGCTTCTGGAAAGGAAAATGGAAGATAGGGTCATAAGTGAAAGGCAAATTTATTATTTTTTTTTAACTTTTGAACTACTTGAAATTGTATTGCATGCAACTATGACCTTACTTATTTTTAAAGCCCTATAAATGTTAAGCTCCCTTAAAAAAAAATAAATAACTAAACAACAAAAGCCAAAGAACGCTCACTTTAGCAGTAGACTGAGGCCAGCATTGGACCAGCTATCTTTTTCTCTGTACTTCCCAAGATCCAGACTCAACTTGCCCCAACCTTATAACAGCCTTTCCTTTCCCATCAACACATCTTCCCCACCTGACTTGTGCCCCTTCCTCCTCCAGGTAGGACACCTGGACCCCTTCCTCTTGGCCCTCTGCAATGCCCCTCTTGCATCATCATCAAGTCTGTTAAACCCTAGGTCCTGCGTGTCTCCCTCTGTCTCTGGCTCACTCTGTTGCAGCCATGCACCCACCCTCTCTGGTCCTCACACACACCAAGCCCGTTTCCACTTCAGGGCCTTTGGGCCTTTGCTCATGCTGTCCCTTTGCCCCTCCACCTCCTTCTCATTCAGCCCCTGTCCCCCTCTCTGCCTCTCTATTTTAGTTATTTCCAATTCCGGAGAGGTGCTCCCAGCTCTCTTCCACTGATTAGCTGAACTGTGGGCAAGAGATTCAACCTTTCTGTACCTCGCTTTCCTCACCTGTAAAACAGAGATGATGACAACAGAAACTCTCTCTTAGAACAGTGTCAGACACATACTAAGCTTAAACAAAGGTTATCCACCATGATTATTACATCATCCTGTTTTCATTCCTTCCCAGCTCTTATCATTCTGAAATAATCTTGTTTTATTTATTTTTTACTTGTTTATTGGCTGTTGCATGAAAGCTCCTCAAGAAGGGGTATTTTGTCTGGCTTGTGCTCCATGTAGTAGGTGTTTAAGAATCTTTAAAAATTGTAAAAAACAGGTAACATAAAATTACCCATTTTAACCACTTTAAAAGGTATAATGCAGTGGCAATAACCACAGTCACAATGCTGTGCAACCATCACTATCTAGTTCCAAAACACTATCATCCCCCCCAAAAGAAACCTCACACCCATTAAGCAGTCACTCCCCATTTCCCCCTTGCCTCTGGACCCTCACCACCATCACCAGTCTGCTTTCTGTCTCTATGGATATGCCTATTCTGGACATTTCATATCAAGGGAATTATAAAACATGTGGCCTTTTGTATCTGGCATCTTTCATTTTTTTTTCAAAGTTCATCCATGTAGCATGTGTCAGTACTTCATTCCTTTTTATAGCCAATAATATTCCACTGCATAGATAGATCACATTTTTTTAATCCATCTGTGGTCTGATAGACATTTGGGTTGTTTCCACTTATGGGCTAATGGGAAAAGTGCTGCTATGAACACTCATGTACAAGTTGCTCAATAATTTTTAAATGAATGAATATATTACTCTCCTACCAGACAAATCCCTTCATCATATACATATCTTCTGCCATTTACTAACTGGCTTATTCAGTGCCTGGTATTGTACAAAACAACTAATCCCATTCACCCCTCCAACAAATGTCCTCTGCACAAAGGAAACAGAGAGGTCAAGCAACTGGCCTAAGGTCACAGAGCTAGCGAGAAGCAGAGCTGGGATTCGAACCTATGTCCATTGAACCGCAAGGCCTGCACTACAAACCAGAAAGCACGGGTTTATTTTAGAAAAGCTCTGGGTTAGAATGTGGGGTGTTCTTTTAATACCCTCAAACTTCACAATCCACCATGCCCATCTGGCTCCAATTAGTAAACTCAGGCGTGGTGAAAACTACAGTTGCTAGCAGAGCCAGTTTTCATTTAATTAAAATTAATAAAACAATCTCTCCCAAGTCTGGCCCATCTGGGCTACACTGGGCCTGGGCTACAATTGCAGGAAATGTCAAGTCAGCCTCATTATAGATGGTGCCCTGACTGGGGAGCCAGGAAGGTGTATGAGGAAGGAAAACCAGCAAGGGTACCAGTGCAGACTCAAGTCTGGCTCTGTCACTCAGTCTGACCTGAAGCCCATCCCATCACCATTCTGTGCCTCATCTTCCCCATCTGTAAAATTGAGTCATTAATAGTACCTACCTCACAGGGTTGTTCTAAGGATTGAGTTACTCTATAAAAGCACATTTTAGCCAAACAACAAGTTTGTCTTATCATCTATATTGAAGGCACAAATTCTATTGTACGCCAGAAAGTTCTAACCTCGAAGTTCTCAGATTCTTTGCTAAAATACAGCTGTCTTGATACCAACCCAGAGGTTAAGCCCTTATATGTCTATTTTGTATTTCATGTCCATGGACCTTAGATTCTCACCTAGGCCCATCATCTGAGACATGGATTGCTTGTGTGGTTACCTTGCACAGTCTTCATGCTCTAGAACAAATTATTCCTGTCTTCAAATCACTCAGGCACTGTGGCATGAGGGAAGTGCAGATTCACCTGCTCAAACCCTTTATACCTAGCAGGCTGGATGGCAGCGTTTTTGCACATAGCTGTTGGGTCATGCTTTCTCCCTTCTTGGCCACCTACAGAGATCTCTCCCTCCAAAATCCACAACCTCCTATAGGTCTGCACACCCACAGGAGAGGGTGGTCAGAAATTACAGTTTTCCTAAAAATTAACTTTTTATTCGATCCAATAAGAATATCCAGCCAATCTGATTTGCGTTTTAAAGTTCTTTTTTTCCTCCTCCATCTCAAGCACCAGAAAACTTTTTTTTAACCCTGAAAGTCTTTCCAGCAGAGCTAAGCACTGTTGATTTACACCTTTGCCAGGATGTAACTACCAACAGTAGCTGACATATTCAGTCCTTCCTCTGGGGCCACCGAAATACCAATGATTCATAGTTACAATCTCACAATGAAGAGGACATTATTATTGCCCTCTTTTAAAGGAAAAAGAAACTGCGGCTCAAAGAAGTAAAACCACTTGCCCAAAGGCAGCTAGCTTGTAAGTGGTAGAGTCGTAACTTGAACCCAAACTTCTACCGTTTCAAAAACCCAGGGCTAAGCGCAAAGCAAGGGAATTAACACAAGGAACAGCAAGGGCTGTACTCAAGGAACCGCATTATCACATGTAACTACCCCTTTCTCGTGGACTTTGGCCCCCAGTGGCGCCTGTGCCCCCAGCTCCAGAGGGCCAAACTCCTGCGCACCTCCCGAGTGATCGACACCATTCCCAAAGGCTGCAGGCTCCCAAACAGCTCCAAGGTAAACAAAGCTCCCCAAGGGAAAGGGGAGGCACACAGTAGGAGCTCAGGACGACTGCCGGGACAGGTTGCCAAAGCAAAGGAGTAGCCTGCAGTACCCCCTTTACTTTCTTGTAAAGTTCAAAAACACAAAACCCCCAAAAAGCCTAAATATCTTGGAAGCAGAAGGCGGAGGGCCCGCGGAGCTCCAGGGAAGAGGGGCGCATGAGAGGCTGGCGGCAATGTGGGGTGGCCGGGAGGGCGGCGCGCGCAGGCGGGCGGGCCGGGGCTTCCTGGCTCACAGTGGGCGCCCATTCAGACGCGCCCAAGAATGAATGAGAGGCGCGGCCGCGTCAGCGCAGCCGCGAGGGCCCGGGCAGCACCGCGCTCGCGGACAAGGTCCAAGGAGAAGTGCCATGCGGAGTAGAGGGCGCCCGCGGCGGGACGGCCCGGCCTCACGCCGGGACTAACATCCAGCCCGCCCCTGGTCCGGTGGACGGGCAGACGGGCGGGTGGCAGGCCCCGGGGCGCAGGCCGGGCCGCCCTCTCCTCGCCGGCCTGCGGCCCCGGAGGCCGCACACGGCCCAAGACCGCCCCAGGCGCCAAGGTGCGCGGCGGAGGGCAAGGTGACCGCGGACGCGGGCCCGGCGCCCACCTTCTGAGCGGCTCGCACGTTGTCCTCGCCGAACAGGCTGCTGACGCTCTGCGAGAAGGTGTTGGCGGTGCGGCGGTAGCTGTTCTTCTCGGTGCCGCCGCGGCCCCGCGCGCCCCGCGCTCCCGGCGCGAGCAGCCCGAGCAACAGCAGCACCAGGAGCCCGGCCCGGGCCCGGGGTCCGCCAGAGGCGCGCGCGCCCATGCTGGCTGGCGGGATGGGGGTCCGCAGGGCTGGGGCCGCTCGCGGGGACGCGCGCCTCTGCCTGCCGCCGCGCTGTCGCAGCGCCACCTGCCCCGCCCCTCGCGCAGAGGCGCGACGGCCCTGCCTACGCCTCGCCCCGCCCCCGGATGCCGGCAGGCCACCCCCCGCTGGGGCTGCCCGGGCTGGGGTGGCCTGGCCTCCTGGCCCCCCAACCGGGTGCCTCCCTGAGCTGGTTGGGGGTTTCAACCTTTTTTTTTTTTTTAATAATTTTTGTATTTAACTTTTTTTGTGACAAGCAAACCATGCCTGTAAAACTTGCAGCGGCCTCAGCCAAGCTAATGACCGCAACGGATGGGAATAACTGATACATCTCTGAATCGTCAACGGTTGGCCACCCGATGATTGGCCACCACTGGCCACGGCAAGGGCACCGCTCATTCATTCATTTCAATGTTTAAAAAGGGAAAGCATTAAGCATCCCTCCTGCCCTTCCTGAACGCAGCGTATTTTAGCGCCACAGAACAGAAGAGGAGGTCAAGTTCCCTTTGATTAAGTCAAGCTAGTAAATGAGGTGGAAGGGAGAGAATTAGAAAATCATTTTGCCTCCCTTAATGACATGATGGATCCAGGAGATCATTATCAAGACACTAAAACAAAGAGGTGAAAGGTTGGTGGGAACCTTGTCGTGATCTGGACACTCCAATCTTAGAAGCAGGAAGTACCAGCGCCGCCAGTGATAGGTTCTCGCCAAAGGACTTTGAACCCTAACCTAATCTGGCCCAGGCGTCTCACCAATCATTTATAGGAAAAGTGGAGGATGGAGGAAAAAATTAGAAGCAGAAGCAATCAGCCAAATCCAGCATGTGGAGCGTTCTACAGGACAAACGACCCAGTTTCTTCAATAAGTAAATGTCATAAAAAGTGAAGGAAGTAGAGGATTACTGATCATTTAAAAAAGACTTGGGAGCCCCAATGACCAAATGCAATCCTAAATTAAAACAAACCGTGTCTAACCAGACATTTTTTGAGACAACCAGGAAAATAAAACTTAATTTTTGTCAATCCAAAGACTGAAAAATAGTCTATTTTTGAAGTTATATTTTCCTGGATTCCTGGTGAGGGTTTCATAGATTTACTGGTCATATATTTTATCTTTTCTTTCAATGAAATTTTTTGAAGTATAGCATTCAAACAAAAACACAAATCATAAGGTGACTCTCTATGAATTTAAACAACACACAAGGTAATCAGTGCCCATATCAGGAAACAGAACGTTACCAGCTTCCCAAAAAGGCTCCCTTTACACTCCCCATTCACTGTGTTCCCCTCCAAAATTCAGAAGATTCATTTTCGCTGTTCTTTGAACTTTATATAAATAGGATCACACAGTTATGCTCTTTTGTGACTGGCTTCTTTTGTTCAACATTGTATTTATGAGAACCATAGTGTTATTGTGTATATGTCTTTTCCTTCTTGCTTAATAGAATGTTCTTTATATCTTTGGAGACAATCTTCTGGTATATAAAATTTTAAAAGAAAATGAAGGATAGTGGACTATTATTGACCTGATAATTTAAAAATGGACATGCTGTTTGCTTACTTAAACATATTTAAAGAAGAGACTGTGGATCCCTATCATCCTAAGCAATAAAACCCGTGAAAACAGGTTTGATATGCTGATTATCCTTTTTTCCCCAAAATCCACTTAAATAAATATATAACTTCAAAACGTGTTCATATATATACTACCTAAGTCCTCTCATGTACCACCTATGTGTTTTGGGGGGGTTGTTTTTGTTTTTGTAGGGAAGAGGGGAGCTTATTCAAATTCAATCACACTCTTCATTCATCCACTCACTCATTCTTTCCTACGTTCAGTAATTATTCATTGCTTACCTACTCAGCAGACAGAGCTTGTTCTAGGTTCCCTTCTAAAATAACTCCTAGTGCCTCACCTTGTCTTGTGATATAATTTAAATGTTTTCCCTTAACGAGTTAGTGCTTTTAACTGAAAAAATGGGACACAATATAACTGTTCTATTCACAAGATAATTACAGGATTCAGAAAATACACTATTTCCAAGTGCACTACAGACAATGTGATGTGGTAATGAGAGTTTAGAGCTAATAGGTGGCTTCTTTTGTCCCTGCAACGGAAATGTGTAGTGCCCTTTTACTACACAACTAATGTATGTTTATTATAGAAATATCAGAAAATGAGAAGGAGCAAAAAAAAAAAAGGAGGGAAGAAATTTGTGTTAGGGGCAGGGTTATATTTTAAAAGATGACAAAATACCCCCACTCCCAAGTAGCCAAGCTACTATTAAAAGATGACAAAACACTGCCAGCCCCAAGGAGCCAAGATAGTAAGTAGACTTACAGGTAGTCTACACCAACTGTGAACTAGAGCTCTTAAACTCGGGCCTCTGCTGGCCCCCTAAGGCTCCGCCCCCGCCTCTAGATTGGCCCCGCCTCCCTGCGTGGCCCTGCCTTTCCGCATGGCCCCGCCCCCGCCCCAGAGGGCTTGTTAGTCCCTGCTCTCGCGAGAGGACAGCCCGGAAGTCTCTCTGCAGACTGGTGTGCTGGGAGCTCACGTGGCCTGGGTTTCAACGTGCTGCGTGTCGGCAGCCGTGGGACCTATACTGAACCGGGGCGCCATGGGGAAGCTGCGCCGGCGGTACAACGTCAAAGGGCGCCAGCAGGCGGCCCCCGACCCCTCGAAGGGCGCCCCCGAGCCGCCCCCCGTGCAGCTGGAACTAGAGGGTAAGGCATCCTGGACTGCGGCTGGGTTTCGGAGAAGGGGCGGACCGGGCCCTCGCTGCCAGGGTTGACCTTTGGGGGCCGGGGGCTCCCAGAATGTGCCCTGCCTGCGCGACTCTGGGGCGGGAGGACCGGAGAGGAACCGCTTCTCAGATGATCCAAAAGAGGAGGGACGGTGACAGTTTAGTTTTCACATTGAATTTGGGACAATCCCCGGGGTTTCTCCCGCATGGGGTCCAGCCCTAGTATAGTAGCAATTGGGAATTTGGGCAAGAAAGTAAGGTAAACCCATCCAGTCCAGTGACTTCAATTACGATCTCTAAATTTGTATTTTCAGCCCAGACTTGACTGCTCAGCTCCAGGCTGCTTGACATTCTGCTCAGATTCCTCCTTTTTAGCAGGAGCACCTACTTGCTATGTGTCAGGCACTATTTTAGGAAACATAACAGAAGAGGAGATGTTTTAAAAATCCCTCCCCTGCTGAGCTTAGATGACCTTGGGAGGAGACAGGCAAAGATAAATATGCAAAATTTAATATAACCTAATATATAATACATAATAAAGTATAACTCTGAGAACTATAGAATGGATAGCTTGTAGTGCAGTATAGCTTAAAACTGTCTCGTTCTTCTTAATGAGGGTCACCTGTCTTTCCTACACTTTGTAACATAAATGAAGAAGTACAAAGCCTGAACAGTTCATGAGAGTCAGGCACTGCCCCTACAGAGCACTGGAGCAAGAGCACCAGCATTAGATATCAGGCAGAAACAGGGGCTACCTAGAGTCCCTCCTCCCCTAAGGGCTGGAGTAGACTGAGCTGAAGACTAACATAGCTAAATTTTGGTCTAGGTGGTATACTTTCAAGCTATAACATTTAAAAGTGGATATGATACAAACTCAGTACTTAGTCCACTGCACACTCTTAGGAGAACATCATAGTATTACTACAAAAATAGTTTTGACCTCACAGCCCCACTGAAAGCAGGACCACACTTGGAGGGAAGCATTGTCACAGCTCGTACCCCCTTTCTGGTGCCCACCATCCTCTCCTCGCGTGCCTAGGATGGAGGTTCCCCAGGCCATGGAGGAGTCTGACCCTCCACAGGTGCTGAGTGTATGAGTTGAGAGAACCTACGGCTTGCGGTACACAGGCAACTCAAGTGTGGGGCAGGAGGGCCCATGGGAGCCATTCCAATGGAAAAGGGCATTAATGCGGAATTTTGAGTATCTAAGCATCAGCATTCTCTGGCCTCTGGGCCTGTGGATCAGGCAAGTGTGTCTTTCCAGAAAGGGGCCGGCTGAAAGGAGTTGATGCGAGCAATGCACTAGTTCTGCTGGGGAAGAAGAAAAAGAAGACTAAAGCCCCTCCCCCGTCAAAGAAGGAGAAGAAGCCTCTGACCAAAAAAGAGCGGAAAACACTGCAGAAAATCTTAGAACAGAAGGAGAAAAAGATCCAGGTACACCTGCTCTGTCAGGGTCTGTGCAGCTCTCCAGACTGGGGAGCACTGGGGGGGGGTCTGTGTCCCCGGATTTGATCTCAGCAGCAGGACCGTCCAGTAGAACTTGCAGAATGAGGGACATGTTTTGTGTGCACAGTCCTGTACAGTAATCGCTAGACGAGTGTGGCCAAGGAATTGATTTTTAATGTGATTTAATTTTAATTAAAATCAAATGGCCACATGTGACTAGCAGCCCCCATCTCTGACACACAGCCCAGAACCTTCAAACCCTTCCCGAGCTTGCTGCTTGGGGCTCTGGCAGTCTGGGATGGGCCCAGGTTTGTGAAGGCAGAATGGTTATTAAACCAGGAGTCAGATGATCAATAGGCTCATCTTTTTTTCTTCACCCCTAATTATTTGGTGTTATTAACTTTATTTTGGAGAATCTCAACCTTTTTTCCTTAGGGTTTTTTTATTTTTTAAGGAAAAATTTTGAGATGGATAATTCAAACATACACAAAAGTGGAGAAAATAGCATGATAGACTCCCATGTAGCTGTTACCAGCCCTGGCAGTTATCAGCCTATGGTTGACCTTGGACCATCTCTACTGCTGGTCACTTTCCCACCTCTTGGATCAAAGCCAGGTGGCATAAATCTGTATTTGTTTCTTGTGGCTGCCAAAACAAAGGATCACAAACTGGGTGTCTTAGAACAACAGAAATTTATTCTGTCATAGCTCTGGAAGCCAGAGTCAAAGTGTCAGCAGTGCTGTGCTCCCACTGAAGGTTCTAGGGGAGGTT